GTGCTAATCATTTGGTTTCGAAAGAGTGCCATATTCTCTCCAAGCCGGTGGAGCTTGCCAATTACTTGAAGCCACTGGTTTCGGCAAAGGACTGGAAAAAGATGGACTCCCTTTCTGGTAAGTGTCTAATAAACAACAACATGCACTACCCGGCGCAGGTAACAATCTCACCTTTTTTGCCTACAAAAGTTGATTCTGGACAAGCAAGAGCTTGCTTCAGAACGAGAACAACCATTGGCTTAGAGGAATCAGCTCGCTGAGCGCCTCTCGGTGCTGGAGGGCAAAGTATTCCCGAAAAATAATGTAATACGCTTGCTTGCAAGAATTGATAAAAAATGAGCCAAAGGAGGCATAATCAACTCATAAAGGAGTCAAACCTGGAACAAAAACCAAGACTGGGCCAGGAGACATGAAACGGCGACCGCACAAATATTGTGCGGCCGCGGAAGCCACAACGTGGCCGCGATCACAAATACGCGGTCCACGAAGTGAAGAATCAGAGAGTGCATTTTAAGTCCAAATGTTGAGCGAGGTCCGTGCCAGAAATGTGCGGCCGCGAAAGTCTCACCGCGGCCGCGGTTGGAATTATGCGGACCGCGGTGGCTCAGATTCAGAGAGTTCACATTTCAAGCAAAAATGAGAAGTGCGGTTCGCGGTGCGCAAATCCATTACGTGGCTGCGATCGAAATTAGCGGCCCGCGAAAAAAACCTCAGCCCAGATAAAGTTAAAAACGTGGACCGCAGTCAGTATTACGCGTCCGGGAAAGCAAGAGTGCGGCCGCAGTAAGAATTACGCGGCCGCGAAACCTCCGCAGGGGTATTTTTGTTCGAAAATTTCAGCTAAGTATAAATAGATCTTTTCACATTTTTAGGTTATGTCATGTTTTTGGTGAGCACGTGAGATGGCTGGATATTCCATTTTGGGCAATTTTGTACTAGAATTAGCCTTCAACATTAGATTTTCATCTCTTAATCTAGTATTATGAATTTTATCTTTATTTCATCTTTGATTTCTGCTATTTCCATGAGTAGCTAAACCCATAGCTAGGGTTGTGACCCAACCCTAGTATGGGTATTTGATGGGTCTTGAATTTAGGGCTTGAATGTGTATGGGTTAGTAGTATTTAGCCTAGTTCTTGCTAGAACTATGGAATTAGTGGTTGCAAACACTAATTTATGCTTTTATGCCTTAGTCTCTACTTGAGAAAGGACTAAGTCTAGAAAAACTAGGCTAAGGAGTTGGGGTGAACTCAAGAAATTGATAGCCCCAATTAAAGGGTTAAATCTAGAGATAGTAATACCCGACTTGAGCTAATATCACTTGTATTGCATGAATACCCATTTGGACTTGAGAAAGACAAATTGGGCAAAATCACTCAAACTACCGAGAGGTATGTACCCGGGTGTGATAGTTATATTACGACCCCAATTAATCACATGATTGTCCTAGATTCTTGCTACCTATTAGATATCCATCTAGGTGGAAGTCACTACCCTAGTCCCTTTAAACCCTTGAAAATCAACATAAAAAACATTGTACTTAGTTTTAAAAATTGCATGCTATAGAATAGAAGTAGAAGTAGAAAACAAACCAAACATGTGTGGAAGAATAATTAAGAGCAAAACCTACATCTAGACTTGGATATAAATCTAACTCCAAATAAATTAACTCCCTGTGGATTCGATCCCGACCTTGTTGGGTAAAATTGGATCTACCATCCTCGCTACTCAATAGTAGTGTAGGTTTGGACCCGATCAATCTTCAAGATGTTGTGACTACTGTCGAACGTGAATCAGCCTTCATGGAACAAGTTAGTAATTTGGAGGCCGGTTTGCGTGCCAAAAATGAGGAGGCCACTGCAGCCGAGGAGAAGAGGGCCAAAATGGAAGAAAGGCTTAAGAGAGTCGTGGGGAAAAATCGGCTTCACTCAACCACCAATGTTGAGCTTAATTCCAGACTCAACGCAATGAATGCTGAAAATGAAGAGCTCTAGGCCAAAATTGACAAACTCCGAGCAAACCTCCAGAACCAAGAAGACTCCCTTGTCTTCGCGAAAACCTATACCATGTATCATATGAAGAGGAAGACTTTGGAGGAGGCCAAGGAAGGCATTACCAATTTCGATAACTGCATTGCCCAAGCCCGAGGACTAGAGTTAACTGCTCATGAGAATCTTCCTGCTCGGCCCGCTGCAACTGACTCCTAAAATACTAGTTCCGAGTATTCGAGAATCGAAGGAGAGACTGAAGAGGATGAAGGACCCAAACCGGCAGCGGAATAGCCTTCTTCCACCAGGGAGAATGAAGACCTTTCTCTCCTTCGGGTTCTGGCATCAAATTATAATGTATAAAAAATCTCTTTTATCTTTTGTAATTATGCCAAAAAAAATTCCTAAGTTTGGCACTTTATTAGATAAAAGAGCTTTTTGCTTAAGTGTTGTGCAAAAATATTCTCTTTACGTTTGATTGATAAAGCTTCGGGAACATTTTTGCATCTGATAGCTTTTGATTCCGGGCATAAGCACTTCCGGAATCTACTCTTTACTATAAGGGTTTCACAAAAAAGGGCCCTTCTGTTTACGGTGCTGTTGAAGAGGACGTCTCTTGTTCATTCCGGCACAAGAATTTGAAGTTTTTATTAACTCTCAAATGATAAAATAAAATGACTTATCATTTGGACAAGAAATAGGATAAAAACAAAAGGACTTTAAAGTACGCTTCTCCACCATCATAAGGTAGGGGTAAGGTCTGCGTACACTTTACCCTACCCAGACCTTACTTGTGGGATTTCACTAGGCTTCTTGTTGTTGTTGTTGTCTCTTCAAAAATACACTTACATAAATATTTATTTGCTTAAGTAAATAAAGCTGCCAATACATGTGACTAACTTGTACAATTTATTTTTGCGCACTTACCGCTACTTTCGAAACCGCTAAATAAATTAGCAGTTATTCACCTTCCCCCGATTTTGACAACAAATGAGGGTTGGATAGGTACCTTTTTAGGTCCTCCAGTGCCTGCTGGCATTTCAGAGTCCTTACAAAGTCGTTCTTATTTTTCAAAAGTGAGAAGAAGTGGTGGAATTTTTTCGAAGACCTTGAGATGAATCTACTAAGAGCTGCCAACCTATTGTTCAGCCTCTGTACTTCCTTCACACTTGTTAGCTGGTTCGGGATGTCCTCGCTGGCTTTGATTTTGTTAGGGTTTACCTCGATCCTTCTTTGCGAGACTAGAAAACCCATAAATTTGTTGGACCAACCCCGAAGGCGCACTTCTCCGAGTTGAGTTTCATGTTGTACTTCCTCAGAATGTTGAACATCTCTGGGAGATGTTTCATACAATCTCCTGTATTTAACACTTAACTAACATGTCATCAATATATACCTCCATTGTCTTACCTATCTGTTTTTCAAATATCTTATTAACGAGCCTCTAATACGTGGCTCCGACGTTTTTGAGCCCTAAAGGCATATATGCCAAAGTTCGTGATGAAAGAATTTTTTTCTTGATCTTCCTGGTTAATCCTAATCTGATTATACCTGAAATAAGCATTAAGGAAGCTCATTAACTCGTGCCTAGCCATAGCATCAATCATTTGGTCAATGTTTGGCAATGGAAAAACCGATGTCAAGAGCAATTGAGAGAACATAAAGGTGAATGTGAATGAAAGAAAGCTTGATTGCATTAATGAAAGCTATTACAGTAAGACAGTACTGTGTCAAGGGAGAGAGACACCAATATAGAGAATTATTTGCTTGCTTGAAAGTTTGACTACTTGATCCCCCCTAATAATGCTTAAAAAAATAAATTAAAGTTACATGACTTGACATAAATAAGCTAGAGAATCATAATAGAAATACAGAAAGTAAAATTACTCTATATTTACAACAAAAAGGACCTAGATTCCTACAAGGTAAAAGCGGGTTCATAGGCCGCACTTGGTAGGGCCCACAACCTTGTCTGTAGCATCAGGGTTTGCGCACGTGGCGTTGGCCGCAGGGCATAGGGCGATTGCACTGACGACGGGTACGTGCTGGGCGCGGTCTATCGAGAGGCGTTGTTAGCATCTGCCTGCGGCGGGGCGCTGACGAGGGCATGGCTGAAAAGCCGCCCATGTGACTTCCTGCCTTGTATTAATTTCTCACAAATAACCTTTATATAATTGTTGTATTCAATCAACAAATTGCAACAATAATTCATCTCTATACGTGTCTTGAGGTATGTTCTTGGTTTCATCCTTGACCAGTAACCACCTTCTCGGGCTATTATCGTGTGTATCACTCCCTATTCTATCTTTCTATTCTTCACTAGTCACTATTACGAGTCTATTCCATCTTAAAAAACTACTAAAAAAGAAAAAGAAAAAGAAAAGGAATGAATCGTTTTAGGAAGAAAGAAGCAATGCGTGCACTAGAAGAACAAACAGAGAGTCTTATGTCCAATGTACTTGAAATGGGAACAAAAAGACAACATTTCCAAATGGGAAAGCAAGATTTTGAAGATAAAGAATATGAGAAAAAGGAGATATTAGAATGACATGTGGGGGCTCTAGTTGCCCTAAAAAGCAACTCGCTCCGTTTTAATTTATGTGATGAAGTTCGAATTCTAAGATCAACTAGATAAAGTTAGCCCGTGCAAGCACGAGCCCGACATTTTCCATTTTGCGGTAGCAACCTCTTATTATTTCAAGCCTTAGAATTGGTTCAAGTCAAGGCAAGATGCATGTCATTCAATATATCGAGAATTTCATTAATGCATATTTTGATATGATTGATCATCAACATACTTTCCTTCTATGGAAAACAAGTGAAAAATAACTTGAGGTACCAACTAATCATGAACCTTAGAACTTGTGTTGTAAGATGGCTTCAAATGCCTCAAACATTCCTTTTCTTTAATAAGGTATGAAAATTCAAAAGTCTCAAATGTCGAGATAAAAGAATTACAAAAGTTTAAAGCAGGCTGGAAGCATTTTACTTTTTAATCATAGAAATCAATCATCCATGCCAAATGACATATACTTGAATTCAGGAAAGTTTCAATGTGAAACATTGAATATTGACAACTGGCAAATCATATTCCCTTAGCTCAAACAAGAAAATAAAATGTCCACATATAATGACAAACACCCAAAGCACACCAATATTTCAACAATGTTCGAAAGTTGTGATGCTTGGGAGGCATTTGATATTTGGAAGGAAATGATCTTGAGTTGTTTAGCATCCAAGGCGAAAACCATTCATTTTTTCAACAAGCCAATCTCCTTTAGTAGTGTACCAATCACTATATATTCATAATGAGTCCTGCACATATCAACAATGTATATCATTCAAGTATTAAAAAATTTCAAAGTACTTTAGTAAGTCTATAAGCCTTCCTTGAATAATAGCTTACAATCCCGTGAAAAAAAAATTGAAGACAATAAAAGGTAAAATGTGAATTAGAGGCTCAATTTGTGCTACCAGTATGTTTCAGAATATACCCAACAACTGAATTTCACTAAAAAGATTAATAACCCAATAAATATTTAGCAAGTTCAAAATTACACAATTGGTAGACACCTCTTCAAGTTTTTAAGACAAATCTTGCGCCATAAAGCAAAGGTTTCCTAGCCAATAATCCCAAGGATCAGAGTCACAAGCATTTTAATTTAATAAAATCAGGAAGTGATTTTCATATAGTCCCTAAAGGTATTTAGAGCATCACTTGTATACTCTCCATTTTAATACTGGTATCTAATGCCGATTCCTAGAATTAGCATTTTACCAATGCAAAATTTCCACATCATAAATAAATTTCCTCAAAAAGAAAAAAACATGTAGAAGAGAGGAAAAAAGAAATTCCAGGAAGAACAATATAATTACAAATAATTTCCAACATCCTCCTTCATTTCGTGATATCAATCTTGAAAAATATTATATCGTTTGCGTATATCTTTTTCCTAATATCAAATATAAAGAAGAGAATGAATAAAAAGTCGTACCTTTTTCTCACTTACTTGTAATTGTTTCATTGGGAAAGCCTTAACTGGTAGATCATTATGAGTGTCACATTGTTTATCTCATCCACTCTGATTTTCAATAGTCACATCTCCAGAAATAGCTTTGAAAGCCCAAGCAGTCACTTGAGCAAACAGAGAATGAGTTTCAAATAATGCAAAGCTCCTTTATATTTCAATACCATATACAGAGGTATTACTCAAAGTATGATTCACACAAAGAAAATCGATACTCAAGAATAATATATAACATCACTTCAGGTTCGCATCATGAAGTCAAATAGAAATTGAAGGATATCCTAATAAATCTAGGTTAAAATAGAAGTTGATCCATAGTGCTAACATGAGGTAAAAAAAAAAAAATTAAAGCACCATCACATGTATAGAGAATTTGTCTCCCACTACTACACCCGTAGAAGCAATACGGTTAGCCACTTTAAATTCAGTTTAATTCTAGAAAAGAAGCAAGTGATTCATTTTCATTTTTTAAATTTCAAGAATTTTCCTAATAAGATACCAAAAGGATAATGGAAGTGTGAAGCTTAATTTCATATAATATTTTTAACTAACGTTGTTCTTCTATTACGGGTCTCAAGTATTTATAAGGTCAAAACCACCAACAAAACAAGGAACGATCTTTATAATTCACAGAAAAATCGACATCCATGCTTTAAGAGTTAATTCCATAGAAATGTCTTTGCAACATATCGTAAAGAGCACTATTAAGAGTCCACATGTTTAATTGATACAATGTAGTCACTTGCCCTAGATGTGCAGTGCAGTATCAGGAATACTAATCTGTTACTAAGAGAATAAAATAATTCATATTTGGGAAAGAAAAAAATGCAATCAAGAAAATTTCACACATCAACCGTAAAGCGACGATGCATTGATCAAGATTCAAGTCCTGAGACTTCCCTCCTGCCGACTGAATAAACTAACATATGGACAGCTCATAATAAGTTAATAACCCAAAAGAGAATGTGTGAGTTTTGGTTTTTGCGTACAACAGACACCTGTGTCACACGAACACTAAACAGAGGTATCAAAACACGATTAAGTACTTTAAAAACATGCTCATTTATGACAATAACATGACACATCAACTTGTATCAAGAAAATTTCTATCAAGTAGCAGTATTAAACAACTAATTAAGAGGACAACCTTGTCCTAGAAGATACAAGCAGTGTCAAATTACTTGCTTACATATATCCTAATAAATTATATGTTGCACATGTAAAAGAGTAACGAAAATTCTAAACAAATATCAATATCAAAAAATTGAAGCCAAAGTAGGATGAGCAAAGAAAAACTCAATTGGTAAAAATCATCTCGTTATCATCTTTAAGTTCATGGCAATTGAGATTAAATGCTCCACGAAAAATAGAAGCCAGCAAATCCTGCAGGTATTTAATCATAGAATCAGTGTCAAACTCCATGTAGTTAAATAACGTAGGAGTGCCAATAAATTTCAAAAGCATTCTTTTATATTCTCCCTGAATTACATTTTTCATGTGAAACAATATATATGAGCAAAAAGGCTAACTAAAGATTTAAAGCAATAAATAGCAGATAGAGGAATTAGTGGAACATCAGGATCCTTCTTCCTTTGTTTCTTCAACTCAAAGTTTCAATCTTTCGTTTCCTCCATAGATAGAAAAATAACAACTTTAGCCATGAAATTGTGAGAACCCGAAGAAGATTTGGGCAAAAACTGAAAAAGGATCAGATATGAGATTGTTTGGGTAGCTGAAAAGATAAAAGAGAACTATTAATAGTAATCTATTCTGGAAACTAAAAGAGATGAAGTGATAGATATTTCCTAAATTTATGTTATATATGCTAGGATAACAAAGACGAAAGGAGACTATTTTGTGAGTGTTGAATTAAAAAGACACGTGGACTGAGATGTAGGTAAGAGATTGGGCAAAACAAATAAAATCAGTTGATAAAATTACAAATTTACCCTTGATCGACCAACTTGGCTCTTCTATATAATAGAAAAGTTCATAATTTAATCCCCAATTTAGATATGGAATCTTTAAAAAAATTTAAATAAAAACTTATATATTTAAAAATTATATAAGAATTACTATAAGTTACAACAATTAATAATTTAATATATTCAAATAGAGTATGAAATATTTATTTAAGAAAATCTCATTTGACTTTCCAAATCCGAATTGCATCATATAAATTGGGACAAACAAACTTACATTGTTGTGACAACTGACACAAAGGCAAACACATGGGGTTACTGTTGTACAAATAGTAACAAACTAACTGCACTCTATTTACTTTTAAAACTTTACTGAATCATGAATGTTTTATCATTTCACTCAACAACATATAAACCAGAAAATAACCAATATTTGAAGAGAGTAAAAGGGAAAGGAGGGTCATTGTCAAAAAAGACTTTGGAGACTAGAAACAACTTGCTTTGCTTCTGTTGGAGAGACTTAAACAAGAGAAAAGAAAAAAGACAAAGAGTATGGTTCAGTTTTTGAAAAGAAAATATTTCAACTTTTGCTTTATTGTTCTTTCATATCACGGACCCTCCTTTTCTCTCAGAATTATACTAGTAGAATAGATATTATGGTTTTGCTCTTTCTTTGAGTTTGACCCAAATAAAAAGCGAAGAAAAAAGAAACAGTAAACCAGTGACCAATGGAAAGAGAAAAACACGTCCATATATGTGTTTATTTTCTTTTGGGACTTCTTGGAGTTTAGAAAAAAAATAATAAGGACAGTCCGGTGCACTAAACTCCTGCTATGCGGGAATCTGGAAAAGGACCAAATTACAAAAGTCTATTGTACACAATCTTACCGTGCATTTTTGCAAAAAAATTATTAAAACGACGCAAAAAATTTTGAGATCATTTTATTAATAAAATTATTTTATTCAATTTTCATAATTCCTTTGTTTAATTCAATCTATGTAATTGACTCCTTTTAAGCTTGATCTTATATTTTTTTTTATCAAACTAATTTTAAATTATTATTATTTTAAGAATTTACTTCCATACTACTCATATACTCCATTATTTCTACTATTTCTACAATAGGATACTCTTTCTATTTTAAAGTGTCCTAAACAATTTGCCACAATTCCACACCATCTATAAACTTCAAGAATTCAAGAATTCAAAATTTCAGTTTGAAACTAGTTTTCGACTATTACTTTAATATTTTCTTTTATTACTACTTATATAATATGTAAGTCAAATTAGTATCTTATATTTTCAGTCTAATTCTCATATAGAATGGAGATATTAGTATCTAAGTAAAACAGATATCTTAGTCTCTCTATACCTAACTAATAAAATCAGACAGAGGGAATAATAAGTGAAATCTTCAAAAGGTAATGTCACTTCTAATTCTGCCTTTTCTTCCCTATCTTTTTCTGAAATCAAATTTCTGATAATAAATTTACAGCATCGACAAGTGCAAAAGTTATTTTTCTTTCAAATTGTTTACCCTAAAATTCGAGTAACAATTAAATTTCTTTTGTGGTTTTAAAGATATGTGATTCAATCAAATACTAACTGATAAACAAAGAATCAAGTGTATAAATAAAAGAGTAAGGTAAATCAAACCAGTGTTGAGCTAGTCTCGACCTCGAGGTAAATGAACAAGAGCAATAAAATAATAATAAGATGATTCTGATGAACAGTAAGCAAGAAAGTGATAGTATGTATATTCTCTTCTCAATGAATGATGCGTACAAATGATTGGGGTCCCCTTTATATAATAGGGGAATCCTAAATAAGGTACACTTCTAATTGTGGTAGGGAATCTTATTATACAAATGTCTAACCGCCTAGTACAAATCCGTTCCGGAATTTACGCCGTGATCTTAGGGCCATTGCGGGAATCTCGCTCTTTCTATTATGAAACCATAACGGTATTATCTCGAGGTTGGTCATACTTGGCCGGTGTTCATCGAGCTCTTCGAGTCTTGTACTCCGCCCTTGGGCTCGAGCCTGGTCCATTTCGAACTTGTTCTCAAAGTGATCCTCGAGCTCACGAAATCGGGCATGCCTCATTTTGACCGTATACAGATAGTCCTCGCGTTTCTTAGAGTAAGATGATAAGAAATGATTTGATCCTCGATCCTCTGACGGCTCGATCATGATGTCAATCCCGTGACGTCAGCGACAGAAGTAATTGAAAGGTCGCGTCTGCATAGTTCCCAAGGTAATTGAAGGCGGCTGATGGTCGGCCATTGGCTTCCCCTAAACCGTTGAAGCAGCCACTATAAATAGGTCAATTTCACAACCTTTACAATCTTTACTTCTCAAACCTTTCCCACATCCTCACTAGTTTCTTCATATTCTCTAAGTACATCCTCTCTTCAACTTGCGCTTGTTATAACATCAACTTCTTTTCTTCTTTTGAGTTTCTCAACAGCGATGGCTAAAACATCTAAAACCGTTCCTCAGAAAGAAAAAGCCTCCTCATCATCGCGGCCGGCCGGTGGTAGAATGACGGTGCCACCTCGTATCGAGGAGTGCATTCCTGTGCCATGCAAGCTATCTTCCAATTTCAAAATTGATAAGCCTGCATCAGTTCCAGGACGATGCGAGCCCATGTCTCGATACATCTGCTCGATAACTGAAGACGATCTTGAGCAGGTGAAAAAGGATTGTAATTGGGAGGATAAGGAGGTGGTGATTCCTTCCCCCGAAGAGGACATCACCACTCATTGTTGATACCCAATTTTTCCCTATAATATTTTTCAAAATGCATATATACCTCCAAAACTATGCATTAGCATCAATTAATATTTTTTCATAGTTTCTGCATTTTTAAGGGTTTTAATTAATTTATCCCAGTATTTTATTTGTATAAACAATTACTAATTGCATCACAAATAGTTTTATAATAATTTTGTGTCTTAATTTTTATCATTTGCATTTGTACTAAGTTTTAATTATTTTACAAATAGCCATATTTGCATTTTTGGGGTTATAATTGCAATAACTTTGCAATTATAGCCCATGCAAGCATTATTACATTATTTTACTAGAAAATAGCTTCTGTACTTTTAAATACTAAGTAATTGTGTTAAAACATTTCTAGGCATGAAAATTATTTTTATAATCTGTTAATTATTTTTTAAAGTTGTTTTTATCAATTAAATGGGTATTTAACAAATAGCCCTTTTTATTTTTTCGGACCTAGCCTATTAAACCAGCCTAATTTCAATTCCCCAATCCCAATCAATTAGAACCAGGCCCAAATCCGCCCCAACCAAAACCTAAAGACTCTACCCGGCCCCAAGCCCCTTTAATCTTGGTCGTTGATCACAGAGATCAATGGCCACCGTTCCCTCTTTCCCTTTTTAGTCCGAAAAATCCCTAAACCCTAATCATTTCTCCCGTTCAGCCGCCCTAAAATCCTCTCCTCTCCGTTCTCTCTGAGACCCAACCCTAACCCTAATCACCGCCACCTAAACTTAACCCTAATCCCTTCGATCCCTACCTGTTCTATGAGGTTCCACGATTGTTTCAGACCTCCATTGGTCTCCTACTTCTTCTGGTTGTTTGATTTTGCTATTCCATGAGAAATCCCAAAAGATCTAGCCCAGATCTTGTTCGAGACTCTTTAAGAGTCCGCCTATGGTCACCTCCGTTTGTGAGTGCTACTATCTCGATGTTTATGGTTCAAAATCAGATTTTCTTTACCCCTCCCCTTTTTCCTCAAAACCCTAATCATTGGACATGAATCCGTCCAGATCTTTGTAGATCTGGAATTATTATGAGTTCGTCAATGACTTTTCTTTAAAGATCTCTTGTTTCTTACTGTCAATTGATTTTGTTACTTTGTTATTTTAGGGTTTTGGTTTCCTTGATTATTGGTTGGTCAAATCTCTGTGTTTGAAGTGGCTTCAAGTTTCCATGACCGTTTTCTTTAAGAGTCTTCTGATTCCCCTACTGTTAATCGACTCTAAGCATTTTCAAAATTAGGGTTTCTACTTCGTCTGTTCTTGCAAAAGGCTTTTCCGAAATTTCTTATGTTTTTGTTTAATCTTTCGGTGATGACTATATTCTAGGCTTGATTGTTTGAGTGTTCGTTGTTCGCTTCAATAATTTGTCCGTTATTGTTTTGAATAATTGACTGAGTGACTCAATTATCTAGGGTATCATTTTTTGCTGAAATGATTTACTGAATTTCTGCTTGCTTTCCATAATCCTGAGATTCCTAGTTAACGTCTCTTGCCTATTTAAGGGTTGTTTGACCTCAGAATGGTCTCTAATTGCTCAGGTTACCTTGTTTGTGTGATTGATTGCTTGATTTATGGGTTCTAACCTTAATTAGTTGTTAGACTCACTTCTTGCCTTATTTGAAACTCAGTCCGAGTTATTTATGAGAATAATTCCCTGATTGTCTGCCCTGTCAAGCTTAATTGATTATTTGATTGCTTTCTTTACCTTATTTATAATATTAAGCTGCCTTGCCTTATTTACTTTACACTACTCGACCCCTATAAGTACAGGACTCTGTTCCAAATACACACACAGACCTAAGGAAAAACACTTAAAAATTCTTGCTCTCTCTCTCTCTCTCTCTCTCTATTGCAACGTACTGCTACTTGTCTATGCATTATCTAGTCGGCTGGAAGCCAAGACTAGATCTTGGATCCTATTTACTTCATTCTCCTACTGCAAATTTCCAACTGGTATGCCTTCATTACTGCGGTTCAATTAAACTATGTGTTTCCTGTTATCAGTATGACTATTTTTAGATCAATATGCTCAATGTTTACTATGTTTATGGCTATGCAATTAGAATATATGTTTCCTGC